TCCGGTGACGACACAACGGAGCACTCGGAATTGCGCACGCGCAAACAATCAGTAATGACGTATGATGGTTTAGCGAACGGAGCTTAGGGTACGTACAATAAACACTTCACGATGTTGATTCAGTGCTTTTAGCGAGCTTATAAAGCATACAGAAGGGCCCGGTACCAAATAATTGAACTAGTTTCAGCTAATAGAACGGAAATAATTGCTATTCATGTAGAACACGTTTGCAATACAAAAAACTAGGTCGTTACAGCTAGTGTATCTTTAAAGAATTCACTTAGCAAGAAAACGTCCATTCTGCTTTATTTTCTGCGATTTATTCTGACCATTTCGGAATTCAATTGCTAATAGCTTATAATACACGCATTTCTCGCGCTGGACGTTCTTCAGAAAACGCTGACCTTCACGCCACTCAGCTGTACTCAAGAGCACGGGCACTTACAACAGGAATTTAGAGTTGGATTAGTGTTATATAGAAGTTAGAGTTTTATAACCCTAGTATTCTTATTTGTTATAGTATACTGGAGTTATATAACCCTAACCCAACTCTAAACTCCTGTAACTCGCGAGAACCCATGCTGAAGAGCGGGCCCACTTTATTACGTTGGCAACATGTCCTTGCTATTTATTACATTTACTGAATATACAGTGAAAGACAAAACTAGGGCTTCGCTTATAAACGCGTTTACAAAAAATGTAATAGCTGAATACTAGCTTCCTTTCTAATTCAAATATTCAATAATGATTGGCTCATGATCGAAACATTGTGTCATGTTATTTTGCTGAAATATGAGTTGACGGCATAGAAATATCAGAGCAGGTTCAAAAGTGTAAGGTGGGGTGGGAGTCGTTTACCGAATGGGTTGCCAGAACAGAGAATTCATTGGAGCATTGGCTGAAAGCGGCAGAAGAAAAACTTGTTCAATAGCAGAAATGACACAATCTCCACGATCACCATGTTGTGCGCTAAGTTCAATTGGTTTACATGCTCGATCGACCATTTTAAATTTCTGTATACTATAGTATATTCAACAAAACATGAGTATGTGATCAAAAGTCAAATTTAAGCCTTATGTAGTTGTATAAAAACTAGAATTATGCAGATAATGATAATTTTGGTAATTAAAAGGATCGCAATCATTGAAACAAAGTCACACTGTTTACAAAGGTCGGTCAGTCGGTTATAGTATAAATCGAAATATACCTGGAGTGCCGTTGTGTCGTCACAGGAAGCGCTGTCCCAGCACAAACCGAACTCCGCTCAGTTCGACACGCGTTACTTATCATTACTGCACAAGGCAGCTTGGCATATTCGAATATGTTCAAACTACAAGACCCTGTCGGTTAACAAAGTTATGCGAAAGACGCTTGGTTACCTTAATCACTTTAATAAAATGTTCAGTTAATTAGATTAAAATATACATGACTTGCGTTAGAAAAGTACAATCCTTTCCTACATGCCAAAGCATTAGTTTCTACTATAAATGACTAACTTTATAAACTTACTAGAACCTGTGTGTTCTATGGCTGTTAGACGCACAAAATCGAACTGTTCAAGCCAGAAATAGTATTGAAATATTCACCAGAATACAAGATGAACGGAAATGTTAGGAAACTCCTTTCAGTGAAATTGGTCTTTAATGTTTCTTTCCCAACTATATATGTTAACAGAACGTTTTTTCTTCCAAGTTTTAGTGTATCACGTGCGCCATTTCACTACAATGACATTACCTTGCAAAACATAGTCCGCGATAAAATGGTTCGGATTTACGTTTTTACTGAAGTTTGACATTAATAAATAGTTCGGATGTTACATACGTTTTTTGCCACTTTTTGTAGTTCGGTTTCAAATGAAACAGATGGCCGTGCGTGGTGAGGTGACACTCTCCCTTGCAGAGTCTTCTTGACCTAGGGAGCCACCCGGGGGAGTCACAGAGAGCTGCAACTAGACTCTGCCACAGGCGACATTTTACACCAAAATTGTTGGTATTCCGCGTTTTTTTTTTAATTCATTTGTTTCTGATATCCTAAGCTTCTGTTGAAAAAAAATGTGTGTTATGTCATGAATTTGTTTTTGCGTATCTGTTGACCGACTTAATTAGCTGATTATTAGCGAATTGCTGTGTTATGATGTCTATCATCGTTTAGGCCTATTTGAAGTTTTGGACGGAACTTGGCTCAGTGATTTGGAACTAATTACGAGATAACCGTCGCTATTCTGACTATTAATTCTGACAGTTGGTACCCGTAGTTATTAATGTAGTGAACGATTAATCAAAATATATGAGTCTTTTTTCTGCTTTGCAATTGGTTAGAGTTTTGAAAATGAATAAAAAGAGTTTTGAGTTAGTCTTGGGGAGCACAGCAGAACAGACGCAGTCGAGTCCCAGTCCTGGAGAGCCTTGGGGCGAGTGTTGACGCAGTCTAAAAGAGTCTTGGGTCAGCCTTGCGATAGTCTTGGGGATTTTTCCCCAGGGCGCTGTGTCTTATAGAGTGCTCGATTGACCGACTAAGACGAGAGCTGAAACGTATTTCGTTGTGTGTGTCTTATTTGACTGTAAA